ACTGATTTTTATATGTTTGAATTATATGAAACAATCTGGCAGGATTTAATTACAAACATATTAGAAACCTTGTAAATTAGAATTTTAGATTTCAAGTTAAGGCCTAAATTTTCTACACAACTATGTTGAATATAAAGTGTGGTCTATAAAGACTGCATTGTTATGGAAAAAGATGTTGTTAGGTACTTTCATTTAGATTTATTAGGATAGTTAAAAGTTTGTGATTCCCTGTCCTTCACGTGTTATGGTATGAATGTGGTTGTTCTTAGATGCAGTCGAGTCAGTTCTGACTCAGAGACCCTATGAACAACAGAACTAAACATTGTCCGGTCATGTCCCATCCTCACAGTCATTGCTGTGTTTGAGCCCATTGTTGCAGACACTGTGGCAATCCATCTTGTTGAGGGTCTTCCTCTTTTTCACTGACCCTCCACCCTTCTGCTTTACCCAGCATGATGTCCATCTCCAGGGACTGGTTCCTCCTGATAACGTGTCTGAAGTACGTGAGCTGAATCCTCACCATCCTCGCTTCTAAGGAACACCGACTTGATGACACCTTTACAACAATAACATACAGATTGAATAAGTATGGTGAAAGTATACAACCCTAATGAACACCTTTCACAATTTTAAACCACGCGGTATCCCCTTGTTCTGTTCGAATGACTGCCTCTTTGTCTATGTACAGATTTCCAATGAGCACAATTAAGTGTTCTGGAATTCCCATTCTTTGCAATGTTATTCATAATTTGTTATGATCCGCACAGTCCAATGCCTTTGCGTAGTCAATAAAACACAAATAAACATCTTTTTGGTTTTCTCTGCTTTCGGCCAAGATCCATCTGACATCAGCAGTGGTACCCCACATTCTACATCTTCTTCTGAATCCAGCTTGCATTTCTGTCGGTTCCCTGTCGATGTATTATTTTCAGCCAAGTTTTACTTGTATATAATATTAATGATATTGTTAGATAATTTCCACATTCTTTTGAATCACCTTTCTTTGGAATGGTCACAAATATGGAGTCTTCCAGTCAGCTGGCCAGATAGCTATCTTCCAGATTTCTTGGTGTGGACCCGTGAGCGCTTCCAGAATTGCATTCATGTGTTGCAACATCTCAGTTGGTATTCCGTCAATTCCCGGAGTCTTGTTTTTCTCCAACATCTTCAATGCAACTTGGAATACTTCCTTCAGTACCATAGGTTCTTGATTGCATATGACCTCCTGAAATGGTTGAACATCTGCCAGTTCTTTGGCACAGTAACTCTGTTTATTCCTTCCATCTTCCTTTGATGCTTCCTGTGTCGTTCAATATTTTGCCCATAGAATCCTTCAGAGTTGCAACTCGAGGCTTGTTTTCTGTCTTCAGTTCTTTCAGCTTGAGAAATGCAGAGCGTGTTCTTCCCTTTTGGTCTTCTAACTCCAGCTCTTTGCAGATTTCGTTTTGATACTTTGTCTTCTCCAGCTGCCCTTTGAAATCTCCTGTTCAGCTCTTTTACTTCATCATTTCTTCCTTTTGCTTTAGTTACTCTACATTTAAGACCAGGTTTCACAGTCTCTTCTGGGAACCATTTTGGTGTTTTCTTTCTTTCTTGTCTTTTTAATGAGCTTTTGCTTTCTTCATGTATGATGTCCTTGCTGTCATCCCACAACTCATTTTGTCTTTGGTCATTGGTGTTCAATGTGTCAAATCTGTTCTTTAGATGGTTTCTAAATTCAGGTGGAATATACTCAATGTCATACTTTGGCTCTAGTGCACTTATTTCAATTTCCTTCAACTTCAGCTTGAACTTGGTTACGTGCAATTGATTGTCTCTTTGGCACTTGGCCCCTGGCCTTGTTCTGACTGATGATATTGAGCGTCTCCGTCATCTCTTTCCACAGAGGTAGTCAAACTGATTCCTGTGCAGTCCATCTGGTGAGGTCCACATATATAGCTACCATTTATGTTGTTGAAGAAAGGTATTTGCAATGAAGAAGTCGCTGGTCTTGCAAAGTTCTGTCATTCAATCTTCTGTGTCATTTCTGTCATCAAGGCCATATTTTCCAACTACTGATCCTTCTTTGTTTCCAGTTTTCATGTTTCAATCACCAGTAATTATCAGTGCATCTTGATTGCATATTTGATCGATTTCAGACTGCAGAAGTTGGTAAAAATCTTCAGTTTCTTCATATTTGGCATTAATGGTTGGTGTGTAAATTCGAATAATAGTTGTGTTAACTGGCGTTCCTTGTAGGTGTATGCATATTATCCTATCACTGATAGATCTTGAGATAATCTTTTTGACGATTAATGTGACACCATTTGTCTTCCATTTGTCATTCCCAGCAAAGTAGACCATATCATTATCTGATTCATGGCCAGTACCGGTCCATTTCAGCTGACTAATGCCTTGGGTTTTGATATTTATGTATTCAGTTTCATTTTTGACTACTTCCAATTTTCCTAGATTCATACTTCGTACATTCCACGTTCAGATTATTAATGGATGTTTGCAGTTCTTTCTTCTCATTTTGAGTCATGCCACATCAGCAAATGAAGGTCTCAGAAGCTTTACCCCATCCATATAATTAAGGTAAACTCTACCTTGAGGAGACAGCTCTTTCTCTGTCTTAGTTTAAGGGCCTTTCAACCTGAGGGGCTCATCTTCTGGCACTGTATCAGACAGTGTTCCACTGCTATTCATTAAGTTTTCCCTGCCCAATCTTTTTTGATAGTAAACCGCCAGGTCCTTTTTCTTAGTCTGTCTTAGTCTGGAAGCGCCACTGAAACCTGTCCACCATGGATGACCCTGCTGGTATTTGAAATACCAGCGGTATAGCTTCCAGCATCACAGCAACACACAATCCACCACAGTAGGACAATCTGACAGACTTGTGGTGGATGGTGTGAATAATATTGATGAAAACATCTAATTTATTGTCATCTTATGTTCTTTTCATTTTTGAGGAGTCGTAAGTAAATATTCTATTTTTTTTAGAGAAATGGGGTAGTTTGCAATGAATTCCTTATCAAAATGGTGATGGAGATATATGCAATATTATAACGTTTACAATGATGATGATTATATTTCAGTAAGAAAACTGACTAGGATCAAATTATAACTTAAAAAACCTTTTTTATTGATGTACTTTAAGAATATGAAAGTGTTTAGTGTTCGACAAGATTAGCTTTGAAGGGAATTATTTTTTACTTCAGTATGCATTTTGCAAGCACATTTTAATTTCACTGTTTAGAAGTTCATTTCAACTTCAAGAATTTCTTATCAATCTTCAAATTTTAAAAAAGTTCCCCTTTTTGATGTATTTACTCTCCATTAATTGTGATAGACTTTCTAACCAGTCATAAAATGTATGCTTAGAAAAGCATTACTATGAAATTTTTTAAACTTATATAAGATCAGCAATGAGGAAGAGATAAAGACATAAAGTAGACATAGAGTTGAATATATATACAATCTCCTATTTTTTGTTCTAATAAAATAAATTTTATGGATTAGAAGGCAGAACTTGATAATAATTTTCTTAATGTTTCGGAAGAGCAGATAATTTTGAATAATTTTATCCCTTGCCTTGATTACACAAGTTGGAGGAACAGCGCCAGTAGAATATTTTCATTTTTTAAGTAAGTTGTTGTTTCTCTCTGCTGCATTTCTGTAATTTAGATGCTTTGCAGTGGTTTAGAGTAATGTTCCAGATTTTTCAGTCATTGTTTGAATTTCCATTAGAATCTTGTGCTAACTATTTAATCAGTATTCCCAGCATGATTATTTTCCTGTTGTGTCTGTTATGAGACAAATTCTGTAGCCAGGCAGCGTTTTAAAGTGGTCTTTTGGCAGCAATTACAAAATTGAAATGAAGAAAACATGTTTGGAACTTTGATTTGTTTCATGAAATTGTATTTTTTAAGAGAGAGAGAGGAGAGAAAAAATGATAAATCCCCTTCTTAATTCACATTTAATCAAAATTTGGAATACATTGTCTGAAATTATTTTCCTTCTGACAAAGATTTCCTTAGCATGCTTCTTATTAATCTTTTGAGACCACTTTTTCTGTTGGTTTGACTTGTTTATTGGAAAAAGAAGATGTTTCTGCTAAAACATTTTTCTCATTCTGACATATATATCACGTTACTCTCTCTATAAAACAATTATAATGAAAAGGGAATGAGTGTTGATTTATTGGAGGACTTCTAAATACTAAGTGTTTTGTACAGAAAACCTGTTCTTTTGCTTCTGATTTTAATCCCTTACCCCTCTCGATGTAAATTGCTCACACTAATAGGCAGGGAAATAAAGTGCTTTAATCAAAGTGGGACAACAAATAATTCAGCTGAGGTTGAGTGTAGGTAGCAGAACAGAATGGGTTTTCCCAAATTATTATAGATCAAAGCCTAATAGATCCATGCTGAATCATTTCTACACAATAAAAGGGAAGCTTTCTATCACTAAGCTATGAATTTGGCTCTCTAAATACTGGTAGATGCTGGGAAATTGTACTTCTTTATTGCTGTTTTCTCTAAAAGTAAGCTGTTTTGTTTTGAGATATATCGAGTGTACCTAGTGAATGAGGTTCACCTCTCTTCTGAGGTTGTTCCAAATGGAATACTACAAGTCTTAGCCAGTTGCCAGATACGTAAGTCCTTTATTGCCAGGCAACTGTTGCTTCTGTTGCTTGGCTACCAAAAACACATTTTCCAATCAATCATATATATATATATTCAAATCCACATAATGCAATGTATCTATAGTCTGTACATGACTAGCAGAATACTTTGAAGGAGTATACTCTTGTTTTATTGTAAAAAAAAACCTTGAGATACAAGCCAAAGATTTATAATGGAGAATACTGTATGGATTAATACACTGAAAATGAAAATATAGTTTACTGATTTGAATTTATCTTTATGAGTTGGAATACAGGTAGAAAAAATTGCATTATGTTGATAAATAAAAGTATTTGTAATAAATGCACTAAATATAGTTATTTTTTTTAATAGTATGAAAGAAATAGGAGTAGGCCGTAAGCAATGGAGGAGTCCCATGTCATCCACCTGCAAGCAGTGCCCAGTGGTCTACACCAGCCTGGTTTGTGGTTCAGACGGCCATACCTACTCTTCTCAGGTAAGCACACCTACAGACATTTCATGGGAAATGAGCAACGTGCTTATATTAGTAAGTCATTAACACTATTAATTCTCCACTGTGATCATCCAAATAAATTATTCAACTTTTTTCATTATGATGAAGAATTCCATTGCTTTGAAATATGATCAAATGCATATTAGTTTTTCCTATATCGTAATGCGTAAAAGTTGAAATATTAAAGCTCTGAAAACTCTGAACTCTCAAATATTAAAACTGTTTCCTTTGTCAGTAATATGCAAGAGGTCAGAAATGTTGGCATGCTGTGTGGTGCCATTAATTGTTCTTTATTATGACAGGAGCAGTTACAATTTGTCAGTATCTTTATGTTATTATCTCCTTTGTTATCTCTATGCTATCTTATTTACATCTCCAAAAATCCTTTTAAGAGATGAGAAAACTGAGGATCAGAGAGGTTTAGTAAATTGACCAGTTTCACAAATCTATTTGACATTGAAGTCAGGATTTGAACTCATCTCTGATTCAGCATCTTTGCTCTCTCCTCTGCACTATAACCAAACAAAACCACACCCAATGCTGTTGAGCGGATCCTGACTCATAGCGACCCTATAGGACAGAGTAGAACCGCCCCATAGGGTTTCCAAGGAAGAGCTGGTAGATTCGAACTGCTGACCTTTTGGTTAGCAGTCCAATGCTTAACCACTGTGCCACCACTCCCCTCTACGCTATGCCGCCTCCTTATTGTTCAGATATTTAGGAATTTTTAAGAACTTTGAGAATATTTGAGATTACTTAATGAATTCACGGCATACCAGTCACTTTTTTTGCCTGTGGACCTCAGAGGTAAGGCATTATTCCAGTTTTAATGCATTCCACGTCTCCGTGGGTCCCTTTTGGAATGCGTGAAGCTCTGCAGAAGAGTTGGAGCGCCATTGTCGTGTATGTGGAGCTTTCTATTAGGTGATGCTTCCTGCATGTGTTAGTTTTGTAAACTTTTGCCTTTTTTTTCCTCTATATCAGTGAGATAAGGCTTGCGAGCATAATCATGGCTTTCCTGTGTGATAGTTAGGGAGTCCTGATGGTTTGTTTTGGTTTTTCTGTGTCATATTTGGAAAGCCAGAGGTTCCGCGCGTAACCTAATGGACAGGCACCGCAAGAAATTACTTACCTAGCTCTCATTGGTGGAGTGTCAAACCCCAGATCGGTGGCGCCACAGTGCCACCCACCTTATTGGTGGCTTATATTACCAGATCACACTTCTCAAAATCCATATTACCAACCAGGAATTTAAACACACTCCATTAGTAAGCATGCATTTCAACACTGAGAACACATGCCATCAAAACAAAAAGTAAGGAGAAAAAATGTAGTTTAAGGGTTAAAGAAGACTTTGATAATATTCTTTGATTGTGTAACAGAATGAAATATCGACTCAGGATCTCCTACTTAAAACCTTCAGGGTCAATTCTATTGACAAAGTTAGTTTTATGTTTTATTTTGCTTAGTTTTTTTTGGTATGTCTTAAAAGGTGATGTAGTACGTATTACTTAGCGTCCCTAAGGATCTGATGCAGTGCCCTACAACCTAACATAGGAATATTTCCTTAGGGAACTCTATGAATATTCAGTTAATTAGGCTGAGGAGACCTGATGGCACAGGCTACATGAAGTCTGTAAATAGCCTCACTTCATTTCATATCCCTTACTGAAAATGAATCCAAAATTTTCTTTTCAATTTTCTGAACTTTTTGGTTTTATAAATTTAGAAATTACTGTTTATGTACAAGTAAATAGTTCCTTACAACTTCCAGGTGAATTTAATAATTACTGTTCCGGATGAGATCACAGCCATGATAAGACAGATTAATTCTCTCCGCAAACATCTGTAAACTATTTACTGGTGAAAGTATGGTATAGCCTGGTGAAGCTCACGTGAGTCTGTTTGGTAAAGTTTTTAGACATAGAGGTGTTGATAGGAGAGGGGAGAGTATATCAGGGAGGAACCCTCTCAACATGATCTTGGTCTTGGTGAATTTACCGTGGCCAGGATCTCAGCTTTGCAACCTTAGAAAATTCATACTGTCAGCACAAGGGAGAATGAGTCACTCTTGTGTTTAAAAAGCCCCTATGATATTCATCGTAAACTATGATACTGGTTTATTAAATTACAGTAAGGCATACGGATTGGGATGTAGCTCTGATAGGCGGAGTTACATGGGAAGTAAATTTTAGTCCTAATTTTACCTGGTGAACATTTAGTGTTGAACAAGCTGAGTTAGCGGCAAGACTGGAATTTTTACTGGCATCCAGCAAAGATAGAGTATGTATTTCTCTCCTAAATACTGGTAGATGTTGGGCAGTTGTAGCTCTTTATTGCTGTTTCCTCTAAATGTAAGCTGCTCTTATTTTGAGGCAATATTGTACACCTAGTACAATATTGACATACCTGTACTGAGGAGCTGGCAGGTGCGTTTGTTTCTGTGGCGCGATTGCTCTTGGAGAATATGCTAAAGACACTCCTTTCCTGACTGGGTTTCCCTTTAGGCTGCTCGTAGCAGACCATCCCTCCTTTCCCAGCTGAGTTTCCCAGGAAACCAAGTTACAATCACAAGTGTTTTCTACCTGCTTGAGACCTTATGGGAGGCCTTGTTGGATGATTTTGAAGTTACTAAACACTTGAAGAAAGGAGCATTGGTGGCTCGGTGGCTAAGCGCTCAGCTGTTGACTGAAGGGTGGGCAGTTGGAACCCACCAGGGGCTCCGTGGGAGAAAAGACCTGGCCATCTGCTCCTGTAAAGATTACAGCCTATGAAACCCTACTGGGGCAGTTCTACTCTGTCATATAGGGTCACTGTGAATTGGAGTCAACTCCACAGCACACAGCAGCAACAACAAACACTTAAGAAACATGTTTGTCACACTTGCACCAAAACTAAAGAAACCTGTCATATGTAGATGAATTTAAGTATGCTGTTCATTTGATATGATTTTCCCCATTGTCCTCTGTATGCACTGGGCACTTTATGAAGCCACAACTTACAAATCATGCAGTAAAACCCATCTGTTCATACGTAATCCATAATTGTATTCTTATTTTGATTTTGATTTGTAAAGTATTGCTTTTGATAAAGGCTTTGTTTTCAGAAAAGACAGAAAAAAAGAATATGGTTCAGACGAATATGAGTCCTTAGTAACTTCCAATCACCACCTTTATTTTTATTAATTTTCACTTAACTTGGTGATTTTTCTATTTGGGCCGCCGATCCTCACCTTAAAGGCGTGAATTAACATCAGCGAGGGTGAAGTGTGTAAAATAATGGAAACTAAGTCGAGTTCTTAGTCCAGGAAAAACATGTTAAACTCTTTTTCTTAATATTTTTTAAAAGTGTGTTAGGTTTGAAATTTATATTAAGGTTCTCACTTCTTTTTTTTTGTTCTTTCCGTGTAAGAGAAAGTATTATCCGCGGCTCTTTAGGTATTGGATCAAGAACAAAAACAACAGAGCTGGTGCCCTTCTGGAAAAGATCGTATTATTTCCCTGACATCTACTTATGGATGAAAATATAAGACCGGTGGATGGGTGTCAGGATCATTCTTACTGCTCTCGGGTCACTGAACTTTGCTAATAGACTAAGAAAACTGCAACAGTACAGATTTGAATAGGTTTTGGGGGCTTGTAGGCTTTTGAGCTCATAGTAATGGTCCTTTTTGTGGGCTTCCAAGCTGGGTATGATCCATGAAGGTCTTGGGTGAAGTTTTTAATCTCTGAGTTGAGTAGTTCTGATACGTTAAGTGTTGGCCAGAAGCCAGGCACCAGCAGTCCAGGATCTGAGGCCCTACGGCCAGGAGAGAAGCCCACTTCTGCCCTCGAGGCCTCCTTATTCATCTTTCTGTATTAACATAAATTTCTTTATTACTCTGGATAATATTCCTACAGGTTCTGTTTGACACCCACAGTTTTTGCTCATTATCTTTGGCTCAGTTTATAAAGATGAGCTTCTCGATTATATTCCATGGAACACCTAGACAGGAGGTGAGGTCAGTCCACAGTATTGTAGGTACAGGAGTTGGGGGATGAGGTGGGACAGGGGAGTTTATCAGAAAGTATCCAACGGGAAATTTTTGTCAAATGACACAACTTAGATATAATTTTAGAAAATAGGCTTCATTATGCAACGTGACCAATTTTGTGTAATTATTAAAGTTCAAGCTCTGAAACTCTGAAACTTGTCAGCTTTGTCAAGAATTCCTCAACAGAGTATTTAAAAAATGCATACACATTATGACAAAGGAATAGATAAAGAACCGTGGAAGAATAGATTTACTGGAAAAAATACTGGAAAATTTCTGATTTTCATAAGAAGAATATATTTGAAATGTTACTTTTTTTTTCTCTAAGAAACACTATTGACTTTCTTGGGAAGCCTATTTCATCCTTCTTTATAAAAGAACTGATGTTTTCTGAATTCTTTCAAATTCAGCAATGCCAGAAAAATCAAGATACAAGTCTGTTCAAGGTTATTTGAGAGGTAATTTTTCCTGAAATTGAAACAAAAGATGAAGGTCTTTGTTTCTTTACTTCAAGCAAAGTCTATTTCGATTATATTGCTCAGCTTCAGTAGGAACTAGGAATTGTTTTGCAATACAGCATCTGTATTAGACCATGGACGTATTTGTCACTGACTTGGGTAAATTGTATATTACATTTGCTGAGCACAAGTCAATAAATAATATCAATGTTTTAGAACTAAGCAAGGCATCCATAATGTACATTCCCTGGGGACAACACACTGGATTATTCTGAACACTTTTCTATCACGTTTAGTCACGCCATGCTTGGCAGTTGAACTAAATAATGGAGAATTCCCTAGGAATGAACATTGCTTAGAAGAAATTGTGTGTGTGTGTGTGTGTGTGTGTGTGTGTGTTGAGGGAAGGGAAATGGACCTAGAACTCATTTTATACTGGAGTTCCCAGCTCTGGCTGCAGAGATGGTGTTTGAATTGGTTTGTGGTGGAGC